TTAAAAAAATTAAAAATAGAGATAAAAGGCGGGTAAAGATGAAATAATAAAAACTAATCTACACTTACAAGAATCTTGTTTTATGTGTGTGATTGTGTATGTATGCGTTTGTTTGTTTATAAACTGTGTCACTTTACGTAGATTTGATAATTCCAATAGTAAAATTTTTTTTGTCTACGTCATAGACTTTTTTAATCAAGATGAGATCGACACATTCGTTGTTAGTGGTTTCATTTTTATGCAGCTATTTTCGCTGGGAATTTTTTTGTGGTGAGTTTTGTTGTAGGTTTTTTTTTCTATTTCTTTCCGTGGCCCTGTCTCCGCTCGTCCAATATCTAAATTTAAAAACTCTTTAGAAAGCAGTAAACTAATACAGTTGAAATACCCCCAGCTACACAATGGCGCAACACCGGCGTAAAAGCTGCAGAAATGTGATAGTTGCAAGAATATTATACGACTTTTTTTTTGGAAAGTGTTTTACAGCGCTTGAAATTTCGTACGGTCATATTATGAATGCGCTGGACACATTAAACATTTTCAGTGTGTAGGAAATTTTGAATTTTGCACTGGTGGAGGTCGAAGCCTATTCGTATCGATTTTGGACCCCTAAGAGATTTTTAACGTGTGCAACTTGCACACCGGACCTCCGAGATTTTTCGCCCTTGTCCGCTTCGAGAAGGCTAGGTGTTAGATCTTTCAGATCAAGGGTGTAGCTGAAAGACAGCAGTAAGAAGGAGCCAAGTAGCAGCAGTAGAAAGACTGCAGAAAGAGTCAGGAGCCCAGAGGGGAGGGGGGGCAAAAGGAGGTTAGGGGGTGGGGGCAGAAAGTGGAGACGAAAGCAGACGACAGAAAGGAGACACTTTTTAGAAAAGAAAAATTTCCATCGCTATCCGGGACCTATTGACTGAGAGGCAAACGCGTCAACCTCTAGGCCACGAGAGCCCCCTAAATACGACTGGTTGTCACGAAAACAATATTCTTTTCAACACTCTACGTTGAACCTTCGGCCATGAAATCACCAACCCAACATCCCCCCCCCACCCCTACAGAGTGTGGTCGGCCTCGCGCCAGGCCCACAGAAGGAGGTTCAGTGAGAATCAGCAGCGGCCGGGAGGCGACGATCGGCTCAGCCCCATGGCACGTCGTTTTGAGAGAGGACACAACGGTGAGTCTTAAGGAGCCCATATACATTTAAAAAAAGGATCAAAACGTTGCAAAATTTTGATGCGAAATTTTGATACAAAATGTTGATGCACAATTGCCCACATACCTATTAGTGTTTTTTTCATCAAAATTTAATGCTGTCGAAATCTTCGACATGGATGCATCAGTTGCCATAGCATTAGTGTCCGCTTTGGACTCTAATGAACCGCCTCGAAATATAAAAGTTTGATCAACATTTTTACAGGAGCCCATACACGTCAAAATATCACACGGGTTTGATCCGTCAAAATGTTTTTTTTTTCAAAATCTCTTTTTCCCATCAAAACGTCCTGCAAAATTTTGAAACTTTTAAAACGTGTATGGGCCTCTTTAGTTTAATAAGAGCTTCGCAGCACTTGCAACACAATTAGGTCATACGAGTGTAGAAGATTAGAGGCCTCACAAGAGAGCAACAAACACAAAAAGAAGAAGGAGAGATATAAATAAAGACTATTATAGATGTTTGATATATAAGAAGGAGGAAACCTCACCAGAGCACCCACCAATCACCAACAACAATGAGTGCACGCCATTGGCATCATGCTGGACTACGGGACAGATGGCCCTGGTTCAAATCGTCAACCAGACATCAATTTCTGAGGCCCTGCCTCTTAAATCTTAACCATAATAATAATACAGCGTTAAAGGGGCATTAACCTATGAAATGAATGGGGAGTTTGACTTGGCACAGCAGGTCATACTTAAGCATGGCACGGGTTTCACGACTCTTTCAACTAAACCTTTGCTGATGAATAAAGAATAATGATGACAATTTATACAATAACAAGACATTATTAATCAACGCAAGCCACATAAAACGTAATCTCATGAATGACTTTTTCCAAAATAAATACCATAAAATATCTTTGATCTACTTTTAAGCCACCATTACGCTGTGAAATTTCTTCTTTGTTGTTGTTGTAGTTGTTGTTGCTGTTGTTATTGTTGTTGTTGTTGTTGTTGTTTTGGTTATTATTAACGATTTTGTCTGTGAGTTGTGGATAATGAAAATAAGACAAGCACTACTAAATAATTGTGGTGACTCACCGATAAAATCGGTGGCCAACTGTTTGGTCGTAGTGCTCAAAACCACATTTTTAACCTTTTCACCACACCAGAATCGCAGAATTTGGTGGATCTATGAGGCAAATCAACATCCTCCACATTCTGTAAATCATTACCAGCTACAGAAGAGGTGGCATCGTCATTGTCACTCTCTATTATTTTTCTTGTTGTTGTTGTTGTTGTTGTTGTTGTTGTTGTTGTTTGTGGCGAGGGTGATGGCAGTGATGGTGACGGTGGTGGATATGGTGGTAGCAGTGGTGCTCATATTTTTGCTTCAGTTATCATTGATTCGAACAACATCCTCATCAAGTGTATTTGTGTCTCAGGGTACAACGTTTTGCGGTGGCTCCCTCATCTCCCCCACCACTGTACTCACCGCCGCTCACTGTGTGGCACACTTTGAGGTCATCTTCGGCTACCCTTTCCACCCGAGTCACATTCAGATATACTTGGGGACGCATCATTGTGAGGGGAGTAATGGCATTTACAAGTGAGTACTTGTGACCTGAGATATAACGGCATTTATACGTGAGTACTGGTGGAGTGAGATTTGACGGCATTTATACGTGAGTACTGGTGAAGTGAGATATGACGGTATTTATACGTGAGTACTGGTGAAGTGAGATATGACGGCATTTAAAGGCGAGTATCTTCAGAAGGCTTACATCGTCTCACTGGAAGCCTCAGATGGTCCCGTTCAAAGCCTTACATGGCCCGATTGGAATCCTCACTTTGCTCTATTGAAAGCCTTACATGGGAAGCATACTTGGCCCTTGTTGGAATCATTACTTGGCCCTGTTCGAAATATTATGACCCTATTGGATACCTTGCATGGTTCCATTAGAAGTCTATCCTTCCTGGCAGCCCTTTTGTTTGTTGTTTGCTCAACAATTTATTAGACCGATTCTTTCTCCTCCAATCTATTCTGCTTTATTTCACTAGGAATAGAGATAGTCGTAAAAAAGGGAAAGGGATGGATGGGATAGAGTTCTGGGAAGGGGGGGGGGGGATATTTTTATCGCTTGCGGAGGACTTTGACACAGTGGCTTTCCGGTGATTTTGAAGTGAATGGATTACCTCAAGCATTCTGAGATATAAGGGTTGGAAAAAGAAGGGGGGAAAGATTACAGAAACGGAGAAAGAGGTGGGGTGAGGAGGAGAAGGGAGATATGAAGGACGACAAGGGGGAGGAGGTGGAGGAAACGAATACGGAGGAGGGGGAAGGAGAAAAAAAATAGTTGAAAGAGGAAGGGGGTGAGAAAAAAGAGGATGAAGAAAAGGGGAGGGGAGAATGGAAGGCGAAGGAAGAAGAGAATGGGAGGAGGATGAGAAGGAAATAATATCTGTCTGAAATATACTCGTATGAATCACATTCTTGCTTTCCTCTTTCTCTCTCAATCGCTCAGACAGTTGAAGTCTTACAAGGTCCACGCCCAGTACAACGACACCTACTACAACAATGACGTGGCGCTTTTCTACCTGGACTCTCCCGTCACATACTCTGATGACGTCATGCCCATCTGTCTGGAGAGAGAAGATTTCGTGGAAGAACTTCTGAAACCAGGTATGTAAAAATACAATGAGATAAGATTAGAAAATAAAAGACTAGAGTATATCTGATAAGATAAGATAGATAAGGAAAGATAAGATAAGATAAGATGAGATATTATTTTATGACAGCGTCCCATGCAATTCAAAATTTAAATCTAAAACTTCTCAATCACCAAAATGTAGCTCTGGGTCCTCCGCCTTCCTGTAGTCTTCACAAAATAAAAACGTAAAACACTCACTGATGGGCACCCTTTTGTTCTTGGCCTTGACCTTCAGGTCGTCTGGGCGTGGTCACAGGCTGCGGCGGAAGGCACGCCCATCGGAGACCGCCCACACACTTACATGAAGTGCAGGTCAGTTTTCTTCGTTATCATAGTTTCAGGTGTTTTGTTTTTGTTGCTGTTGTTGCTGTTGTAGTTTTGTTTACATGTTGTTGTTTTGTTTTATAGTGGTTTCTGTTCTGTGTGAGCTTTAATAATAATTAATTCAGGGATCGTCAGGAAGCGCGCACACATAATATACGCACACACATACACACAGATAGAGGCAGGCAGACGGACAGACGGACAGACAGACTGAGAAATAGAGAGACAGAGTGGCAGAGACAGAGAAGAAGGTTGGCGCTGACAGGAAGGGTCTAAGCGGCTCACGTCGTTAATGATTCAATTTCTGCCGACGAGAATGAAAAGCGTATACAGTAACATCTACATACCCCCCTCCCCCCGGTCTCTCCTCTCTCTCTCTCTCTCTCTCTCTCTCTCTCTCTCTCTCTCTCTCTCTCTCTCTCTCTCTCGCTCCCTCTCTTCCTTGCCTGTCCCCCTCATCTTTCCCAATGCCTATGTCCTTCTATATCGTGACACCTATATCTCCCCAGGTTCCATTTGTGCCCTGCCCCACAATGTGTGTATGGGTGGGTGTGTGTGTGTGTGTGTGTGTGTGTGTGTGTGTGTGTGTGTGTGTGTGTGTATGAGTGTGTGCGTGTGTGTGTGTGTGTGTGAGTGTGTGTGTGTGTGTGTGTGTTTGTGCACGCGCACGCGTGCTTGTGTTTGAATGAGTGTCCATCTATCTATCTATCTATCTATCTATCTATCTATCTATCTATCTATCTATCTATCTATCTATCTATCTATCTATCTATCTATCTATCCCCAGGTCCCCTTCGTACCACGTGATGTGTGCCAGGAGAGAGCGGAAGCTGTCAACACGACCTTCACCTCTGGCATGTTCTGTGCCGGATATGCTCGCAGCATGCGCGGTGACGCATGCGCAGGGGACAGGTGAGTTAATCTGGGAATTGATACGCCTGTAACGCTCCTCTAGCAGCTTAGCCGTTTTCCCATTTAACAAAAGCACTCGAGACAAGTTGTAAAGTGTACATTGACTATACAGTTTACTAATAGGCACAGACTTGTTTTTTAAAAATAATTTCTCCTAGGCCATAACTTAATATAGAAACCTGATTTTCCGTGACCAGTTTCGTTATACGTTTGTCGTGACAATCTCAGCAACTCAATCCATAGGAATATGGACAACTGTTAACCTGGTTGACTGTCCTTCAATCACAAGTACATGTCTTTGAATAGTAGGAGTATGCACCTTTAGGTCTGTAACGATGGTACCTGCCCCGGGGGGGGGGGGGGGGAGGTGTTTGCAGGGGCTGGGATGTGGGAATGGGAGGGTTGCGTGTGGGGATGGTTTTTGGGTGGAGTAGATGTGATTTTTTTTTTATTGGGTTGGGGGGGGGAGGAGGGGGTTAAAATATGGTGGTCCATATTAATTATGTGATAGAATGAAAGATACACAACACTATTAATAGCTTACTGACACTTAAAAATGTACTTCTTTAACTGTCACCTAACTTTCCAGCGGCGGTCCTTACGTGATAGAGTTCAGCGGCCGGTCTATCCTTGCTGGTATCGTGTCATGGGGCGTGGGGTGTGACAGGGAGAACCACTACGGCTACTACACCTACGCCGCTCACTACTACGACTGGATCATGGAGCACATGGAAGAAGAGTGAGAGGACTACACTACTACGCCAGCACCTATAACAGCCCCTGTGTTAGGACAACAGTGTCATAAGCGCACGTTCACTGTCACTACGTTGACTCAACTCAACCGTGTAGTAAATGTACTTAAGGGGTTCCTGAAGTTTTCAATTTTGTAATGTCAGAAACAAACTACAGCATTACAATTGTAGAAAATGCTAAACTCTTTAAGGGCGAAGCGGACATATAATAATGTTTGTTCAGCAGCAGACCAAAGGCAACTGCGTGTTACATCTCGAACAATCATAACATACATGTACACATCAGAAAATGACTCAATGCTCTTAGCTTACTTTTTATAGTTTTTAGATTAAAAAAACAGAACTTTAAACATCTAAAAGAATAACAAAGTTATGCTTTTGTTTTTTAAAGCGCCCCAAAACAGCGCCTCTTCAAGCGTTGTCAAACGAATAGAATGCGCGTCCTCGGTGAGTTTACATTAGGTGTTGTTTAATTAATATTGCAAATTGTCATTATTGTGCATAATCTCAATACACTTCCTTTGTACATTAAAACCGTCACTCCAATACGACACCATCAAAGTCTTCTGTTTTGTCTTTATTGATGATACTGTGTATATGTGAGGGTGTGTGTGTGTGTGTGTGTGTGTGTGTGT